CAACCACTGAGTGTAAACCTTGATCGTGGCCGTTGGTGCGTTTCAAGCATGACCCTCAAGTGCCAAAGACGACCTCGCGAATGTAATCATCGGCGAGATGGAGTCCGTCCATTATCGGCATCGTGTATCTTCGTGGCATCATAGAATAGTGGACCACGAATTGTCATGACACCTTTGTACTTGGCTGACCGTACTTGCGGTGCTTTGATGCGTAGCATACGCCCGTTGAATCAACAGCTCCAGTCAGTTCAATCGCTTACGGTATCGTTGACATTGGTACGATTTCAGAATGAGGAACCGATCCCGTCCTGTTCGAAGCCAACTGGAAGTACATTAAGGACGTCGCCAACGACTAATCCAAACAACAACGATAGGGAAAACGCAACGCGTGTCCCTCATCATACAATGTCACCGATACTGTGATGATTCAACAGTATCAGCACGCAAGTACGGTCAGCCAAAGTACAAAGGTCCTTACACTATAGACCGAGTTCAATGACAATGGCACTGTTCGGCTCCAACATGCTACCCCAACGGCGGCACAGTCTACCAGACTTGAACATAAGGTATTACACCCATACAGGCCTTCCCCTTGTAGGATTGCCATCGTGCGAGCACATGTCTACATCCAAATCTCATGAGAGTGCCCCGCACTTAAATCATATTGTTCTCCTTGTCCGACTGCTGTCGCGCCTTCTGTGACCCTTGTCAGGGGGCGAATGCATATACACGGCTCTTAGCCTTATTCACGACTCGATCCTAGATAGGGTTTGAGTTGACTCGTGACTGAGTCTCTCGTGAATAGTCATTTGAGACAGGGTTCTCAATGACCGCGTAGTCATACTAGGTTGATGATGAAACATCGCTCTAGATATTTAGCAGCGTGGAGTACTTCCACACTACTAGATCCAGGCTAGACAAACCTTCCGCGTTCCGTTTTAGGATCGTGAGAGACGTAGGATTACTACCACAACCTACTCTATCACACTTTATAGTCTCCCGCGGGAAGCCAGATCTACGATCCCTTGATGATGATCTCTCTCGTTCATTAGTTTTCATAGCTTTCTAATCTCTCTCATAACTTTCATTCTCTCAAACTCAAAATACTCGAAAGATCTTTACACTCGCTTTTAGCGTAGTGCACCACATCCAGCCCATCGAGGTATTGGATTTACGGTTTAGTTTAGCTTGGTCTCGGTCTATACCGTACCAGCTCCTATGTGTCTATTTTCGAAATCACCACAAACAGGGTACCCTTGCTTTTCTCACAGCCTACCCGGCTTGTATCTTTTGCCATCCCCAGCTTGCTCCACTGATGAAGCAAACAGCGAAATTCTTAAGCTCAGAATTTGGAAATCAGCAAGCAACGGTATACCCCATGGATAAACATCCAATGGTAGATTCGTCGTAGATTAACTCTTAGTAGTGTCTACACACATCTCACACAACATCACACATCTCACACAACACTCAACGTACACACACCTACATACATCTCACACAGCACTCAACGTACACACACCTACACACACACAAGATAAAGTTCAAAAGGCCCTCAGCTTGCTAGCTGGTAGTTGAGGGCAAAGATAAAGTTCAAAAGGCCCTCAGCTTGCTAGCTGGTAGTTGAGGGCAATTGTGCTCTTGTTGCAGCAGGGGGGTGGGCAAATCTTGCTATAGTGCTGTAGTGTACTCAACAGGAGTTAATCAGAATGTCAGAAAAAAGACCAAATGAACGTTTTAGTGGGAAGCAAGATTCAATTGGATTAGATTGCATTGGATTAGATTGAATTGGATTGAATTGGATTCCAACTAATACTGTTATTTGTATAGTAAGCTGGAATTCAATGCAATCCAATTCAATTCAATCCAATCCCATCTAATCCAATAGAAAAATTGCAGCCCAAAACAAATGTTCGCCTTTTCACGGACACTTTTACAAAAAACGCTATCAAATACAATGCAGGGCTATGGGCAAGTTTGCTCATCCCCTAGTGAAACTAACTGGTTTTACTCTCGTGGCCAGGTGCGTTGACCAACTTGACACCAAGTTGATATTGTTTTGCGCTCCGCATCGGAACCAGTTGAGAAGAGCGCTTAAGCAAAAACATGTGGCGGTTAGAAAAAGAAAATGTGACCGTTAACAGGTCACTCTCCACATTGCCTTTTTTTACTCCAAACATGTCTCCAAACTTCAACTTCACGTAGACTCACTACTAGAAGCTACACAGACTGCACCAATTTCTTCGAGACGGGTTCCAGGACCGTCCGACGGTTTTTGCTCAGGTTTAAAAACTGCTTTTTAAGGGAATGTTAAGGGAATGTTGAAGCTTTAAGGGAATGTTAAGGGAATGTTGCGGATTTAAGGGAATGTTTTAAGGGAATGTTTATTTAAAGGAATGTTCACTTTTTTTAAGGGAATGTTCTGTGGGGTTTACATGAAGGCTTAGAGGAATGTTTCGAAGCCTTAAGGGAATGTTGTTAAGGAAATGTTGATTTAAGGGAATGTTGGGGATTTAAGGGAATGTTTTAAGGGAATGTTTAAGGGAATGTTTCCACTGCGATATTTTATGTTTTTTTAAAACCTGAGGGAAAACTGTCGGACGGTCCAGGTACCAGGTACATGTAGGATGTTTTCCAGTTTTCCCTTGCAGACATCAAGAAAGAGGTTGCAAGGCCAAGGAGGGCTTGACAAACATTTGGTCTTCCCCCTTCGATTGATTGACTCTTCCCCCTTCGATTGATTGACAATCATTCTGGTCAGTGTCGCCACCTGGGCGCTCGAAGGATCAGCTGTGGACACGGGCAGACGCCCCCTCTGCAACGGCTCCAAGATACCATATTGAATGTGTAATCTCCCCCCGTGATGTTTATCCCCCTTTGGTACTCATAATTTTGTATTGAGAGGTGTCAGAACTAATATACTATAGTCTATTATTGAGCTAACAGGTCTTTTGTCCGCCTCTGAGAGCAACGGGGGAGGCACTGGCCAGCCAAAATCTAGAAACTTAGACCATCCAGCAAAGGATTGCTGGTGATTGCTTGCTGCTTGTCACCTTCTTCTTCTTCGGCCGCCTCTCCTTCCGACGCATCAAGATCAAGGGTGGGAAGTGTACTGTCCACAGTTTTGACACGCCGCAATCTGCTACTAAGGGGGGTTGCGGTATCAACAACCTCCGTTCGACGGCGGCGATATGGGGACTTTCCAACAGCTTTCGCGTCGGCTCCATCGTCGCCCTTGGATCTACGAGATCTTCGACCTCCTGGAGTTTTCGGCGACTTCTGCATTTCATCCTTGGCGCCTCCAGATTCCTCGTCGTGTGTTTTTCGCCGTCGAAATCGGTTTGCTCTATTCGGAGACTTGCACAGCTCAGCCATGAGCTTCTTATCCATAGTTCGCCCAGGCCTGGTGATGTCTTTTCCCATCGAGGTTGAGTAGTTGTGCTCAGGTGACCCTTGCATGTCTTCGGACGCATCCTGGGAGAGTACTGTCGCTTTTTGTTCGCCTCCTTTGAGCGCTTCATGAGCCGTATGCCTCCTCGTGCGAGTCTTTCTTCTTGCTGTTGGAGAAACAATATCGCTTTCATCCATTCTGGAGCCATGACCGTCAGATCGATGTCGTCTCGACCTTGATTCCTCCTTCATTTTGGGACTGGTCTCACGGGATCTGTGGCGTCGAGGTTTCATGCTTCTCCTAGAAGACGCAACGCCAACTTCAGGAGACTTGGACCGTGACCTCGTAGAGAGCAAAGGTAAACACGGCGGATCCTGAGGTTTTGGCGTGGGTTCAATTGAATCATCGTCATCGTAGTCGTCGCCCGCTTCGCTCTTCTCGCTCCTGGTGGTTGCCGACTCGTCCATGCTAGTCTGCCGTCTTGGTTGCGCACTACGGCGCGTTGACCGACCTGTCTGACTGGCAGCAGATTCATCCATACCAGGACCTCCCCTGGCACCACGAACGCGAGGCACGGTGGGATCGTTGAAAACAGGAGAACGAGGGCCACCCGAAATGGAACTCCGACGCACAATTCTTTCTTTTCTCGCAGTAGGAGTCTTGGGTTGGGACGCCTCAGCGAGTGTAGTACGTCTCCGTCTACGAGTTCCATTAGGCGTGAGGCTTCTCCTCTTTCTTGCGTCGCCGCTGGGAGCTGTACTTGGCGCTGCACCTTCTTGAGGAGTTGTCCGCCTCCAAGAGGCATCCTCATGTTTATATTTGCTTTGACTTGGGTTTCGCCTGGACCTGCGATCCTTTCGACGTTGTACGGCATCAGGTACCACGCTTTCCACTGTTTCATTCGAAGATGGTTTTGTCGCGTCAACTGGAGTGGACTGAGATCTGGATACAATTCCAGGGCGCTGCTTTAGCAATCCTTTTTCGTTGGTGGAACTGGTAACTCGAGTGCTAGCACGACGTCTCATCCTGATCTTATCAACTGTCGTTTCTTTCGGTTCCGACTTGATGACTTGTTCAACCTTCACACTGGCTCTGCGTCTTGTACTAGTCAGAGCATCGGCCTTTGACGGGGCTAACATTTTGGTTGCGGTAGCCAAGGTGCGATCGTCCTCGTCGTCTAGTTTGGACTCCGTTGTGGACATCGTTGCCAACGACGCGCCTGATCTTGACTTGTGAATTCCGCTGTCCTCAGCCTTTCCTTGAAGATCGACCTGAACGATAGATTTTTTCATTTCTGCCGCTAAACCACTTCGGCGTCCCCGTCGAGGTTTTTGCGTTGTCTCTCCTTTGCCAACCCTCTGCTTACAACTTGCAGCTATGGGAGACATCATCAAGTCAACACCAGGGCCGTGCGAGGAACCAGTCGGCAAACTATTTCGGCGTTTCGGTCTGTGCCGTTGTTCGTCTGGTCGCTTTTCGTCTCGAGACACTTCTTCGACCGTGCTAAGCAACGAGAAGCTGTTTTCCAACATCAAGTTTGCTGGGAACTCTGCCGCGACATTGTACATGTTGCTGACACTGGCTCGTTTCCCCCGGGCGGGCGAGATTAACGATTCCAGAGCAAACGATTGATGAAACAAGGCAGTTGCATCATTAGCAGCTTTCTTTCCCTTCTTTTTGCTGCGGGATTTGCCCGTGCTATGGGCTGTTTGCTCGTCCTCCTCGGTTTTGCCACTGCCATCTTGGCCAAAATCCAATACTCCATTGACGATTTGGAAGCTCTTTTCAAAACCAGTGACTCCCACGGTTGCCCTGCGACTCAACGCAGCACGTTTTGGTGTCAGATTGACATGGTTGATGCTGTCGTCGGCGGTTCTCTGACTGCGCAATGAACCATTATGACTGGAGTTTCCCGTTGAAACTTCGCTGGTTGTCGTTGCCGGAGTCGTTAAAACACCGTTGCTCTTGCTGCCTACGGACAGACTTGTGCGTTCACTTCTTGCCGATCCACCACCACCGCCACCACTCCATTCACTTCGAACGGATGTCGTTCGCTGCGACCGAGCGCTATTGCTGCTCCCCTCTGTCTGCGCAACAGCACTAACGTTAGTAGCGGCAGGGAACGCTGTCATGGACGCTGACATTTTCTTGTTGCGGTAGTTGTCCACAGATGATGTCGTTCTGGACCGGCCCAGTTTTGGTAGGGCCGTGGGTTTGGGTAGTAATATTGGTGCGCTCGATTTGCTCGTTGCTGTCGACTTTGTAGCGTCTGAAAGTGAGGCTAGACTGGCTGACCCCGTTGTAGTTCGTTTTTTGGTTGAAGCCTGTTTCTTTCCTCCGGCCTTGTTTCCAAAAAAGACGGAATCGTCATCATCAAAGAGATCATCATCCAACACCACGGCTAGATTGCTGCTGCTTTGTTGTTCTTGTGGTTGCGGTTGCTGCCCACTGCTCGAACTCTTTTTGATCTTTTTATTGGTCTTGGTGGAAGGCAATGCCCCCAGTGAATCCAGGGCTTCTGGCAAACTGGATGAGCGCGACACTGCCGCCGAAGTGGATTGAGCCCGTCTAGGTCGTCGTCCTGTATTCGTGACCACCTTATTGTTCAATACAGAGAGTCGTTCATCCATTTCGTGTAGATCCATTGCCATTTGAGTAATATTGGCGCTCCCCATGAGACTGGAACTCCCCATGAGGAGCTTGCTGGCACTTCCCATCATGAGATTCCCGGCACTGGACGACATGAGGAGACTCTCGTGCAAGTCTTGTGCAAAATCCAGCGCCATGGATGAATCATGATTACGATGATTTCGATTCTGATGCTGACCCATCATGAGGGCACCAATCGTTTCCGGAGCAATACTTTCCTTGTTTTTCTTTTTGTTGTTGTTGGTGCCCTGCAGCTTGTCCTTGAATTTCTCTCGTCGCATTTCAATTTCATTCATCATTTCGTATCGTTGTTTTTGATTGGAAAGAAGGTTTTCCACGTGCCGAAAATCGCCCGTGGACGAAGAACGGAGATGTCGGACAATGACCGGTGGAGTAGTAGATGGACGGGGTGACTTGGCGGGATCGTCGTCGTCTTCGTCCTCCGAACAGATCGATGTATCATCACCATCCAACATACGACTCGTGATGGTATGGGCGGATAGCTTTTCCGTCGTGACGGAGAAGTGTTCCGTGCCATCCCTGATTTCATCACCGTCCTCATCTGCTTCGTCAACTTGGTACGGTTTTCCTTGTTGTCGTCGTAACCGAAAGTCGGTCAACTGTTTGGCCAATTTGGGCGCCAATACCGGTCGTCCGTTTTTGGTGTGATTGCCCCAAATCGCGGATAAGCGCGATGGTCCCTTTTGATTATTGTTACTACTGCTGGATTGTCGTTGCGGTGGTCGTCGTCGTACAACGTCAAACTCCTCCTTGTTGGCCGTGGCGGCAGAGCTAGCATTTGCAAACGACATGGTCAAGGGTCCACTGGACATGTTGAGAAAGTCATTGACGCCCGTAAAGAGGGTCGAACTGCTGCCCACGCCGGAAAAGGGTAGAATGGACTTGTTGTTGTTGTTGTTGTTGTTGTTGGTAGTAGTTGTAGCAGTAGTGTTGTTGTCGTTTTCTTCCTCCTCCTCGTCTTGTAGATTGCTGTAACTATTGTGAATCATATTGGAGGTAGAATTGTTGTTGCTGTTATTGATCGCAGAAGGATCTTTTTTGGAGCTTTTCTTGGGGGATAAGAGCCAAGCAGCTGATAAGAGATCCCCCGTGATACTCTGATCCAGTCTTCCCGTAGATGACTGCAGTTGTTGTTGCTGCTGTTGCTGTTGTCCCTTGGTAGCATTATCTTGGAGAGGTTCACCCATTTCTTCCTCTAAAAATAGATTGGGATTGCTGCCTTCTCCTACTTCTTCCGCCCAACTACTGCTGGATACAATTAACTTGGAGGAGGATTGCTGCGGTTGGTGTTGGGAAGGTCCCCTTTCTTGTTTGTTCTTGAGATGGGACTGCAGTCGTTGCGACCATTTCTCGCCCAGGATTCTCCTCACTCCGCTACCCATGCTCTTGCTTCGACCAACCTTTTTGCGGGGCTTGCTCTTCGTTACAGAAGCAGACTGTTGTTCTCCAGCATCAGCAGCCTTTTTCTTGGGGTGCACAGCAGCCGCTTCCATCGTCATTATCCTGCCAATTGTGGTATCATTGGCCATGGCATGGGTATACTATACTATACTACCGTTATCACTGAAGCAACAACAACAGTCAACTAGCTATGGTAGGTGTACCTTATACCTGGATAAGGTACAGTATGCTGAGTAAATAATGATTGAGGATCGCTCAAGACAGGCGCTTTGATGGTTCCTTCAATGACTGTCTCTTGACTGGGCCTCTTCGAATCTTGCTCTTTCGAAATATGGAGTGGGAGCACGACGAGAAAAGCATTCAAGAAGGAAGAAACATACATGGGGAAAGGGGCACAAGCACTTCCGGGAAGTTGAGCTTAACCCGGCTTTATGTTGCCGCGACTGCTACACTTCCGATTTCCCTTTCCAAGGATCTCACCATTCATTCTGTTCTGAAGGACTTAATTGTTAATCTGTTGACTTAGGAACGTGAACCCAAAGATAAACGACTCTTATAGAACCGTAATCGTGATGGGAATCAGAAATGCATTCATTGTACAGAAACATCCATACTCTGAGAATTAAGGGCTCCACCTCCATGAGACAGTGTCATGTTCCGATTTTTGCAGTCATCCTTCAATCGACCTCAAGATTTATTGCATCGAGCACCGTTAATCCCCATGGCATTGGTACAAGCAATCCGTTTTAATGCTTTGCTGGCTTTCTACTTGCGGTTTTGCTAGCCTTCTTCGAGCACCTCTCATCAGCAACTCGATCTCAATGACACAGAGAAGATGATGATCATTGGAGCGGAACATGATGGAACTTGATGAGATAGGGGACCAGAGGGAAGGCAGAGGAGAAGGGGGGCTCAGATACGGTACCGCAACAAGCTACGTATATGGATGTTGTAAAAGCCTGCAAAGATCCATCAAGCTAGCTAGCGGCCAGCTAGCTAGACGCCAGACGACAGCCACTTGGATCTGGTCCAAGATCCATGCCACTATAATATTTACAAGATGCGGGCTAGTAGATGCGAGAGACAACACCAGCAATCCAATGACAATGAAAGATATCTGTACATTGCGGAGTTGACTATTGGGAGGCCAATTTTCCCAGTCTCGCATCGAATCCATTTTCTCTAGCCACGCAGATGCAAACCTCTGAAACATCACTATTGTTCACCGGATCATTCACTATTCCCGCTGATTAATAGGGTATTGCAGATTGGCTCACAAGACCTGAACATCATCATGATAGGCTTCTTCTTTCTTCTTTATCTGGGGCGAACAAAGTTCATCCAATACAGATAACCCAAAAGGCCAGCATGAACTGCAAATGCCACAAAGGCAACCACAGAACTCCGGCTCTCCTTGGGAGCTCTGGATCGCTTGATGAATCCCAAAATGGTGCTTATAAGCAATGTAATGATCATACCGTTGAGCCAAAACCAAGTGTTGAAATAGGGCAACAGCTGATTCGTGCGGATGTAATACCAGACACACCACAGTACCGTCCATAGGAGATACTTGTTGACCCCACAGCCCAGGCGCAAAATGGACGCCACTCCTCCAAATGTAGCCCCAACACCGGTTCGATGGCTGAATCGGTCATCGTATGTGAGTCCCACCAAGGCACCCACGAGCATCAGACTGTAGATGGCGGTCAATACAGTTTGTGAAGCTACATTTTTGCGACGCATGGTCATCATGAAGGCATTGCACTGGATGATACTGATTGCCAACAAATGTAGCGTGTACCGTCGGTACCCGACAATGCAATAAGCTGTCAAATAGATTTGCACTTCAGACGCATACCATTGCTCAAATGGATCGGTAAATGTGACACCTCGAATAGTGTTGGAATGGTGTTCGATGGTGGATCCGAAATCGGCAAAGGCACAGGTAGCTAGTACAATGACAAGATCCATTTCTTGGTAGCATCCCTCGGATTTGTGAGGAAAGCGATGAGAAATGCCATTCATTTGTTCTTGCCACATGAGTAGCATAAATGCCAGTGATCTGGAAGTAAAGCCCATGGCATGCCATCTGTTTGTATATACATTCAGGAATTAGCATGCCAAAAACTTGTGCAATACAATAAGCACTTGTTCAGCTTCCCCACTATAGAAAATAGAAGTACGTACTCACCTAAATTCTGGCCAAATCCGATATCCTTCTCGGATTCGTTTCTTGGGAATATCAAAGATGAAGCTACTAGCATGGAGGGAAAAATGAAGTAAAATGAAGCAGAGAGTTCCAAAGTTGGGTCCAAAGTTTCCATCGGTTGCTCCCAAATGAGCATATCGATAGGCGAACGACACAAGACAGGAGACTCCAAGGATTTTGTGAATGTGTGGAATGATGAAATGGCGTTCCTCCTTGCTGGAAAACAGCTTGTCCACCACTGACTTGTCTCGCAGCTGGGGCTTCCAGACTGTTGGCTGCTCACCGTTGGTGGTGATTGTTGTATTGGTGTCCTTCATGGTGGAGAAAATGGGAAGACAATTTTAATTTCCGCAACAATGGATGAGGAAGTCACCGTTGTTACATGTATCGGTGGCAGACATTTCAGCATTTTTCAGTCTTGCATACCCATTTTACTAAACATTTGTTGATGGTTGCTGACAAATGATGAAGAATGCTGCTCTGGAGATGAATTTTGTTGCCATTTCTGAATCTAGTTCTAATCATTTTGGAAAATAATGAATTCAACCCCTGATATTTATTGTAATTTCTAAATTTTCCTGAATCTTGCTGAATATGATTGAATCATTCTATTCGATTCATACAAATGAAAAATGTTAACATTTCTGAATATTCTGAAATTTGAATCAGAAGCTGAAAATGCTGCATTTGCTAAATCCAGTTCAGCAAAATGAAACCATCGTCTTGAAGTCTGCGACGCTTTACGCTTTACTTCCAGAAGCACACTTTCTCAAAAATGCCGCCAAAATCTTGCGCCCCGCGGTCGAAGCGTGTCAAAGCGTTCGTCGTTGTTGAAGCATTTCTTGTCAGCTGGTTGTGGTGGACCTCTTTACTTCTATTGTGCTTCTGCTGTCCTGTTGTTTTTGCTGCAGTTGAGTTGGTTCCATCATCATGACGAGTCGTCTGATCTATTTGTTGCAATGCATGGGGCCTCGTGCCGTCAGAGTGAGTGTACTTGAGGTGTCACTTCATGTTCGGACATGACATGGCATGCGTCACCCTCATTTCTTTTGTTTCTACTATGTTATATATGATATTTCCAATAGACATCCACAGCGGCCAATTCTTGGGCCAACGTGAGTCTGTGGAATCGTTTCTTGGAAGAACGGGAAGCAGAAGAAGAAGAGAATTTGGAAATTATTGCCGATGCTCTGGTGAATCTTCATTTTGACAGCGACAATGGTCAGGAAGCCATACGGCCTGTCGAGGGAGAAGAAGCCGTGGAAGCACGTCGTCGTTTCATTCAAGAACATTACCGTCGTAATCGAGCAGGAGGAGATGCATTGCGTCGTCCAAACGATCCCGTACTCGATCGTTGGGAAATTGCCGCCGTCGGTGCCATTGCCGCACAACGAGAACAGCGTCAATTGAATCAACCCAATTTGGATGTTCCCGTGGGACAGGAGTATGTCTACAGGGCGCAGTAGTCAACAAACAAAATTCAGTCAAAAGAGTGCGAGTGACATCACCGCAACATCTCTCACGAACATTTTGTGGAGAAACAACAACAATTTTTAGAATCAAATCGAGGAGAGGCGATCCTCCTCGTCAGCCATCATCCCACACCGTCGTAAATTAGTCCTAGCTAGCCAGTAGTATCAATCCATTTTGTGGCAAGATTGAATTAGGTTTTTTACAAGCACTCCTAGTATGTGCTCCAATGTCTATTGCTAGCATAAGCGGTACGCAGACGAGAAAAATCAAATCCGAGCTGAACCGAGAGAAAACCCGAAATGTATGTGCCCAATCTGCAATGGAACACACTTATTACGTCCCAAATCCACATGTAAACATTTGTGCTGCCAACAGTACGTTGCAACCCGCCGTGTATGGTGATCCACAATCGGAATTCTTATACTGCGCCTGCCTGTCCGACAAATGGACCCACGGCAGACATGAATTGGTGTTGCTGCGGATCTACAGGTCCTCCTGCTGGCCGTCATGCTTGTGATCATTCACGTGACACACCATCGGCGTCTTGTAGGGATTGTAGCGGTAGTATTTGGGGGCTCTATCCAACCGAAAATGGAGCCATGGGACTCCATTTCCAGCAGTCGAAAGCCACACTGTATTGGCACTCTGTTCCCATTGGCTTTGATAAGCCGTCGCAACAAGCTTCCATAGGGCGTCTACTTGTGCCGGCGGGGCTTGACGGACAAAGTTGGCAAGGTGCGTGTAGTGCTTGCCGGACCCATTCTCTTGTGGCTTGGGGACGATCAACACGGCATCTCCCGACAAGTTAGGAAAGACGCAGCCATACGGATCCGAGATTTGTGCTCTTTCGCATGGGTCCTGAAAGGACCGGAACCGAGGCTTTCGCTTCGTCAAGCTGGCGGCTTCCAAAAGGACAAATTCAAAGGGTTGTTCTGCCACGGACTGATGCGTCACGGGTGGCAATTCGAAATACACGGCCCTGAATGGCGCATTGGCCAACACTGCGTTTAGGGACGCCACATCGCCATCTTGGAGAGCCTTGGTCCAATCTAGCATGGTCAAGGATTGCCCACTTTCTGCGTTGATGGCGACAAACCGTTGGAATCTCGTCCCGTGGCCAGTTTCACCCTGTTCTTGCAGGTCATAGCGAATGTTGGATGCAGCCGCTGCTGTGTGCGTGGCGATGCCTAAAAGAGAAAGCATTCTGGTGCGAAAGTAAGAAGGCATTGGTTTTGAAATAATATGACGAACGAAACTCTTGCTGACTTTTGCGGAACTGAGTTGATGAGCGGAAAATGAGGGAATAAGTCCAGACGTGGAAATTCGGACATTTGCGAAAGCACGAAAGGACACCTGCATCACAGCAAGACCCACCCCACCTGTGACTGTTGGCACCCGTGCTCTCTTTGATGAAGGTGTTTGGCTTGAGTATTGGATTATCTTTTCGTCCACATGATACGCACCGGTATGCACCTTCACAGGAAGCCCTTCTTCACCAGGACTTCAGTCGCTCATCGAATGATTCATTCCAACTAACTCCTGGCTTCGGAGTCCAAAATGCCCGAAGATCTTTTGAGAAAACATCATAAAGCCGTTTGAGCTGTAAACAGATTCTGCTCCCTGGCAAGGTATGGAGGCTCAATGGAGGACTCCCCCCAAGGCGCAAGAGGCCAAAACGGGGTAGAAGGCAGGGATATGATTGGTAGATGAGTACCATATTGAAGTGTATATGTCAGCAACACTTAAAGAAGAAAATTCAAACAAGACGCGAAGTGACACTTACATTTCCGAGCCAACCTGCGACCTATTCTCCGATTTCGGCAATGCCGAAACAGATGATCGAAATTCCCTTGCGACCATGGCGAGACCATGGCGAGATTGACGGTCACTACTACTTGGTTTTTTCATTATCCAAAGTCAGGACCAGCAAAGATGACCACCAGGGCCCCAATAGTGAATCCTTATGCAAGGAAACCCAAGCAGAAGCCTGCTCATAATGAAGGAATGGGGAGACAAAGTCAGCAGCGCAACTCTCTCGAGAAGAGGACTCGTCAGCTTGCAAGTAGCAGCCCCAAGAAGAGGAAGAAAGGCGATCAGTTGACTCTCGACAACAAGGTGGCATTTGACCCTGAGAAAGACTGTAAGCAGTGCAAGAATCAGAGTTTAAGGAGACAAGGGTTACCAGTGTCAGTGTACAAGAAAGCGCACCACCACCTTTGCCCAAGGAACTCAAAAACCAAAGGATTGGTCCAGATCTCAGAGCAGAATCTCACAATAATGGCCGAAGAGAAAAGATTGCAACAGCATTTCAGTGAGCCTTTGAAACAACATGAGAAGGCCACTTCAAACAATGTCACCAAGGAATCCATACACCAATTTTTCAAAGAAAGACCATCCAAGAAGAAATCTCCACCATCCTTGCGTCAATCCAACAGCATTGCTCCACTAAGTCTTAGTTCTGAGAGTTTCTGCAAAGCTGTGAGTTAAATGGTGGAGGATCAATCCTTCATCAACAAGCACAAGAGAAAAGGCGCTCCACTGGCAATGGTCGCGTTTGCTGAAGAGATGTCAAAGAAGATAATCCACAAAAGTGACCTATTCAATCTACACTTTGAAGGGATTACAACCATTGTGCCGGACGTTTACCATTCAAACGGACCAATCAATCCGCATTATCACTCCATTGTCGGTCAAAAGCTCCTGCTTGTGGACTGGTATCGCTTTGGTCTGGAGCGCGTGGCATGTCCAAGTAGTGGCTGTTTTGATGGAAACCTGGTGAATCAAAGAACGAACTTCTCTCACAATAAGACACTGTTCCCCATCTTTGGTTTGGATGGTTCGCCTGCCTGGTGCATGGTTCAAAAAATGGTCTGTTCTAAGTGCAAACAAACGTTCAGTGCGAATGATGCTGCCGTACTGGTGAACATCCCATCCTACGCTGCCAACTGTTATCCGGTGGAGCCCAAATATGCCCTTGAAAGAGATAGCCACCTTTCAAGAACAGCCACAGAAGTGTTCTCAAGTTTAATGGTGACTTATGGCAATGGAGAATTATGCAGCAAATTGCTCTACAACGCTATCAACCGCGAGTACATCCAAAGAATTACAGCCTACTACTCTCACTGCAAGCACCACAAATCTCGACAACAGCCCATCCAACCATACGTAGCCAAAGATGGCCAGTACATTCGCCGATACCCTCCCTTAGGCGAAACAGTTCGCGACTTCTTTGATTGTGCCTCGAGCAGTCCATACAACCCATGGCGAATCTCTGATCATGACCGCCACACAAGAGAGATCCAAGCTGTTCAGTGCAGTGCTGGCGTGTTCAGCCAAGATCATACATTCCAAGCAGTCAAAAACTACCAAGGAAACATTGGAGCTGCTGCTGTGTGGGATGTAGGAACATCTACTGGTGAGATTGCCACTGCAGTGCTAGTGCCAACAACACAAACAATCCATTTCTCTCATGCAGCAATCCAGCTGTCAAAAAGACAAGATTTCACACCCACTGTCATGTATAGCGACACATGGCCCAACAAGAAGGAATTCTGGGAGGTTGTATTCCCAGGATTGGAAGGGCGACTTGGCTTGTTTCACTTTGAAAAGAGGATCATCTCCACACTCAGAAAGGGTCACATTGATTACATGGAAGCAGTCAATGATCTGCTTGCATGCCTGTACCAATATGACAAAGGAGATTATGAGCGACTTCTCACTGCTCTCAAGGATGGAACAATCGCGGCCAACGGCCAGTGCTACTCAACTCACGAGATAACGGCACTCAAAAGAACAAAACAGTTTCGCGACAGGTATGCTAAACATCTGCGCAAGTCCATGAATGAACCAGAGACAATCAAGCAGATGTTAGGCGAGTGGTTCGACAACTATAAGTGCACGTCCTCGGACCCAGAGAACCGCCCTGCACGTGGACGCATTGATCCAGTGAAGAAGGTGACTCTCTTCACGGAAGATACCAAATCAGCTGTTCAGAATTGCATGGAAAAGGCAATTCACTTGCAAGATGCCCTTCCACTGGAACAAATGTATGATTGCATCGATCCATCCAGCAGCTCCAAACACAACGTACCAGTCTACATATCCAAGAGAGGAGAATCCAAGTTAGAGGCCTTTCACGACAGATTCGCACATTTTGCCAATGGCGGAATGAGGAGAACTCTGGCTGACAACCTCAATCTTACCGGTACATGCTGGTACAACCTCAAGATTCGCCACAAACGCTTGCTTCTCTCGCTTCGCCGGGAAGATCGGATAATTCCATTTGGTTGGGAGAGAGTAGTTCCATTCAATAACCACAGTGAGCTTTGGTTCATCAACAACATGGCAGCTGATTGTGGGGTACCGATTCCTTTTCCAAGAGCAGGAAAATTACCGAACGACAATGGTGAGCGCTTCTTCTCTGAGTATCTTTCGACTGTGCAGCCTCGATTGCAAAAATACACACCTCTCGATCTCTGTTTGTGCGATGTCTGCACCAATCAACAACAGCCAGCTGCCAGTACTCCAGCCCAATCTATTCAACAGCCCTCACCGGCAAATCCATCGCCAACACCTGCACGTACACTACAACAACCAACACCTGCACGTGGACCACAACAACTAACTCGAAGACGCTAGCCAGCCCGTGCACCAGCCGCTCAAACCACCGTTAATCGCCAACAAATTCAAATTCAAATGCAGCCGGTGCAACAGCAACAAATGCAACAGCAACAAATGCAATGGAGATTTTGCGTGCCACTGATGATGGCAGCTGCACCACCGCAATATTTTCCTCCGCCGCAAAGAGGATGCTGTCCTCAATACTATCAATGGTTACACCGTCGAGTTGGAACACCACCGCATCATCCTCATTGTCAACAACGTTTGCATGGGTACGCCTTGTTGTAGATAGTACTAGTAGAACATAATACCATAATAGCGAGTGAGTTGAATTTATTAATGAGGATCAGTAAGAAGTGGGTTGGGATTGGGCGAGATGAGAAAAAACCAAGCCGGGATCACTTTCAGAAATTTGAATTGGTAACGAACCTCTGTGGTGATGTCAATGCTGACACTTCAGTGCCAATTAGCTGGGGGTGCGACTGTTTTTGTTTAAAGGAAGAGGTGCTTTCTTGCCTACACCCCCATTTTGTATATGTAATGGGTCATCGCTTGTATGAACAAACTGTCACTGGAACAGAGTGCCGGGCTCGCGAGGATGGCGCACCTCGGGAATTGGGAATGTTATCCCTCTCCCTTTTTTTCTCCTCCCCTCCCCTCCCCCCCTCCTCCCTGCCTACCCCCCCTAAAAACCTTACGGGAGGGAGCACCAGAGAGCAGGCTTCTTTCGCAAGAGACCGTACATGTAAAGCATCCCAGTCTTGTCGTTTTCTCTTGTTGCTCCCTTTTGGGTAGTGCAGGTTTACAGCAGAGCAAGATCTGAAAATGAAACAAGAGTTCACATTTTTAAAAGAAGACAGTAACGAGCTCTTCATGTTGCTATCCCTGGAACAACAACATGAGGCTAGATAAAAAACAAGCAAGGCAATGGTGGCCACAGGATGTCCAATGTCCCAGAAGGTGTAAGAAAACGAAGTGGACAAGATGGTGCAAGATGAACAGTGAGTGGAAGTGACACAGGGATAATGAGTAAGAGATTCGCCTGACTGGTTGCATGCAGCAGAAAGCACTGGGTAGCATAATGGTGCCACCCCTGGGATGCCCCACTATTCTTATGGTCTGTCAAAACTGCGGACAATACACTTTCCATCCTCGATCTTGAAGTGTCGGATGGAGAGGTGGCCGAAGACAGTGAAGGCGACAAGCAACAAACAATCACAAGCAATGCTTTGCTGGATGGGCCAAGGTTTTAGTTTTTGGCCAGTGACTCCACCATTGCTCTCGCTCAGAGAGACCGGCACAAGACTTGGTAGCTCAATGGACTATAGAAGAAAAGTTCTGCCACCTCTAAATACAAACAGCTTATGAATACCAAAGGGGGATAAAGATGATGAGGGAGATGACAACTTCAATAGAGTATCTTGGAGCTGTTGCTGAGGAGGCTTCTTCCGTGTCCCCAGCCGATCCCTCGAGCGGTGAGGTGGCGACAATGAAATCCAATTTCGCAAGGTCTTTGCAGTGGTACCGAGGCTTTTCGCAGTCTACTGCACCACGTTGCTCTGGAAATCTTGGTGTTTGCGGATCGTAGCATCCATCCCATACCAATTCTTTCTCAAGTAGTTCTGGTCCCTGCTCGGAGCAAGCTGCATCAGTGTAGTGCTCCAGGACTTGCCTGCCTTCAGAGTCGCAATAACTGCGTCCGCCCCCCAGAATGCTCGTCTGATGAGTGCTGTTTTGAATAGGAACACCGATACTAAAACAGTACGACGGCTCGGCAGGAAACACAGCTTCCGCCCGCTGGTGTACGTCTCCTGTCTCGCAGGATTCTTCCCCAAAGTAGATGTATCGATCGATCATGCGTGCATTAAAGTCGCCCATGGGCACGTCGCTCTCCACACAATAGTCAGGCATGTACAAGAAGCCGTCCTTGGTGGGGTCTTCGTCGGGGCATGCAGTAATTTGCTTGATCTCATTGCACATCAATCCATTTGCAGCCTCAACGGCATACAACGGACTTTCCTCTTCGCAGAGGTTATCGTTGTAATATTTGCGACAGAAGTGGGTCTCATTGATGGGGAACACACTTTCCGATCCGTTGAGGTTGTTCAAGAGTCGAATGGCTCGCCTCCTGCAGTCAGATTCTACCCAAAAGTACTGCGACGGCAGGCACCCAACATGGTCGCAGTTGTCGCAGGAAGAGGATTCATTGCCTTCCAGTTTCCTCCATATCACGCCCACGAATAGCCCGACAGGTTCCGCTGCGGCAACCGGAGAGACCATCACGCAGCACAACAACAAAGCACTGATCATCACTTTTTCGACGTACATGTCCATTTTCGGTGCTTCGCAAGTTTTGTGGGAGGATCGGGACAGCAGTACTGTACGGCAAAACATGTACTACTAGTGGTACCTTTTACCACAGTGCCATGGCTTGGCGATCTTGTTTCAGTCGGGTTTCCCTTCAACAAAGATCCAGCGAGCAGAGAATTAGAGCAGTGTTCCCTCTTCCTCAAGAATTTCACAAGGTTCTTTCGGAAAGCTAGCTCTTCTACTTGCCAGCTAGCTAGCTAACTAGAGCCAGAAGTGAAACTGTGAAGCAACGCTGAGACTCGACTTCTTTGAAGAGATGCAGCCTCCATATTGGATCTTTGGAAGGGCTACCGTATCTACATGTACTAGCTAGCTAGCTAACAAACTATACATTGTAAGCAGCCATGATGAATTCTTTTTCCACCGTTTCCTCACAGCCGTGACTGGGGATTCCTTGCCTCCAGCACGTGCTTTTGAATGGCGTCAAAACAAAAGTCATCCACAGGTACGACCATGTGAGGACGAACAACGTAGTCATGCACAAGTTGTGGCAGGTAGGCAGTGTGGATGTTCTTGGGTATCACGCCCTTGGCTTGCAAGTCTTCCAAATCCTTGATATGAAATTCTGGAGCCCACTTGTCGTTTCCCACAAAAAGGATGCATATTGGACAGTATTCTCCAATGATTCGAAATGCTGGAAAATCAGGAACTTCTGGCAGATCCCTGACCTCTTCCATGCCCAACTCGAACCAGTTGCGTCCAAAGTGGACCTGTTGTAACAAGTCTACTGTGATGCGTCGACCATTGGGACATGTGATATCGCCCTTGAGCAATGTATCCAAGAAATGAACGGGCAAGGCTGCCAATACCCTCATCAATGATTGGGCGTGCCCAATGACCGGTTCAGGCATAGCGGACAATTTGAACAACAAATACTCTGACCAAGCATGGGATTTCATGCGGCTAAAGGGCATCATGTACAAGACCAGATCTGTTTGTCGCAAGATATCCATCCGTCGGATCAGCAATCGTTGAATCATGTGACATCCAATGGAGTGGGCAAGAAAGATGTAGCGTGGTCGTGAGGCAGTCTTTTTGTTGGGATGCTCTAGCATTTCTTGTTCCAGCATATCCATGTAGTTTTCCTTGTGAACAATCTGTCCATCCACAGTGAATGCTAGGTCGGTATCCCGTTCTTCCTTCCGTGAGAGCCATTTTTCCACATTGGCAATATCATCTGGTGTTCCATGGCCAGCATAGGACACACCTCTGGCAGCAAAGCCTCGTCCTGCTCGTTTCACCAAATTCAAGAGACTCGGTATGTACCTGTAGAAACAGAGAACGGAACATCCAAGATCTTAGAGGTGGAATAATAAAGAGATGATATTGATGGCTCTTTCTGCAATTGTTCTTCTGGCTGTTCAGGCACTTACCACCCAACAAGACCAGGATTCCCCGGAAAGAAAACTATAATGGTGTGAGGATACTCTACTTTGGAGCTGTCATTCGGATCCACATAATCAATTTCCACAGTATCGGTGGGCCATTTGAGGACGTCTCGCACCTTCTCTACAACTCGGATATCAGAGTAATCGTTCTCCATGTTGCCGACGAGAGAAGAGGATCGAGATGTTTCGACGAGATGTTGTTGCCTTGGGTAAAGGAACGATCAGGCGGATGACGGCTACGATGACACTACGCCATGGTCACCGAATCCGTCACTATTCCCAGCAGAGCTGTGATTGTTTTCGGAATGCGGGATGCCAGGCCACGTCTACCGCTACCGCTATAGCGAAGGCAAGAGGGAACTTTTAGACTAGTACAGTGTAGTTGTATCGATGAAGTGACAGCCGTGGGGAATGCTACGCTAGCGAAAGTGGGTTGAAAACTTAAAACTACAACTTGGAGTCACGGACACACTTTTATATGGAATCGAATCTAAGCACAGTTATCGAAGAAAAAAAACTGAACGTCTAATAACGGATTCAGACGAGATGTGCTTGAGGACTACCCACGAGCTAGGGCTCGGGTATTTCCCACAGTCAAGTCTGCTCACCGGCCACACTGGCCTCCTGAGAGGCCTACTTTGTTGAACAAATTACACTACCTTCAGGAGACCATAAGCACAGTTATCGAAAGAAAGGCAAACGCAAGCTAGACTGCAGGCCTGCAGAGAGCAATCAGACGTCTACGACGCGTAGATCTTCGTCTCTTTCCGTCTCCTCTGTTGGATCTTCGGCGACAGGGGTTATTCCGCTACGCTCCTTTCTAGCCTTCTGCTTGCTAGTATCGAATTCCATAGAAAGGGCGACATCATCAGCCTCGTCACAATTCTCACTGACTACAAAGAAGTCGGGATCACAATCAACATTGCCCTGTTCCTCATTGACCCGTCTTTGACGCCGAAAGACAGGTACCAACAGGCCTGCCCAACAGTACATGAAGATGGCATAGAGCAATGGGAATGGGATGGCCTGTTCTCTCTGCCACTTGTACTTTAGGGCTTGTTCTCCTATGGCCAAAGCCAATGCCAAGTTTTGGAGTCCCACTTCAAAGACGACAGTTCGTCGGGCTGCCGGGGAGAATTTCAGCAGTGTGGTAATGCCATAGCTTAATCCAGTGGCAATGGGGAAGTAAATAAAGGCAGATACACCAAGCTGCCATGTCGCAAAGTCAGCAAGGCCCTCGTGGTACTGCACCAAGAGCGCCACAATGGCTGCCATCAGAAAGAGAATGGCAAGGACATGAATGCCCTTTTCCAAAATGGGTCGAATCTTGTTGGTGCAGGAGCAAAAGTTGAGTGATACCCCAATGGAAAGTGGCACAAGAAGCATGACCAAGCTGATGGCTATCTGATCAATGGCTATGGTAGGCTCACTGGTTGTGCTGTTATCAGAAAAGTCAATGACAAAGTTGGAGAAGATGTAGATCCACAGAGGTGTCATGCCAAAAGAGACAATGGTGGATACAATGGTCATGAACACAGATAACTCCAAGATGCCTTGTCCCCACATTGTGTAGATGTTGGAGATACCCCCTCCTGGCATTGTGGCCGCTATGATAGCACCAAAGGCCATGTAGCCATCCAAGGCGAAGATCTTGGTCAAGGCATAGGCCACGGCTGGCATCACCAGGAATTGGCAAGTGACACCCACTGCTGCTGCTTTGAGTGCCTTGGGGGAGGAAAACATTTTCTTGACAAGTTCCCATTTGCAACTGGAACCTACCGCAATCATGATTAAAAAGATAGCCAAGCCCAAGACAAGTTCAATGACCATGGAAACCGCATTGTCATCATCTACCTGTTCCTCTTCCAGTGGTGGTTCTTGGAGGTTTCGGAACCATCGAAGATAGTTGGGTAGCGACATGACGGAGAAGTTGAGATTGGTTAACGATAATGTTGAGTTGGGGCTTCGACTTTTTGTGAGATATTCTCACGCCATAATCCTGAAGGCAGGGTCTCATCTTTTCTAGCTAGTAATGAGCATCTCATCTTGTATGAACTCAGTGGGCATTTCGTGATTCATACCGGTAAGTTTTTTGGGCTGTGCAATCTGTTGCAAAGCTTTCTAGCTCTAGATGTATTGTCCTACGTACGCTACGGCAACGGTGGGGACGGACTGCTTGACCAATGGTGGCGATGCAAACAAGGATCCTCGTTGTGAACCGGTACCGATAGCTACCGGTACGCGTATCGGGACGAAGCCCAGAAGAGTTTGATGGAGCCCTTTTTGTGAACCCCTTATCTCGGTCTATTGAGCGACATCGTTAGTACCAGGCAGAACCCAACCTTCTCTTTTACAGTATGATACAGTACTTCCCCACCGGCATATTCTTTCTCAAACTCATCTGTTCACTTGCTATCGGTACTACTACGCCGTAGTAAAGAGTGTTGTCCGCCTCGTTTGATGTTGATCAGTGTACAGCCCAATGGTTCGGCGACAACCTGCACCAAGACCTGTAATTTCTTCGAGGACGCCATGCATGGATGTCGTCTGCTTGCTTGTGATCGAATAGATTTTTCGATTTTTTAAAATTGGATCATTCGATTCGATTCAATTCGCTTGTACGACTGTACCGGTACGGTATTCGCGTTTGCCTGTGCTTTCGAAATAAAAGACTGCTTCCATCCTATACAGGAACACGTCTCCTCTGGTGAAGAGGCGAGATGGCACTTAGAGCGAGACTGGACGGGCGAGAGCGGAAAGGAGAGCCGAAGGCTCGGAACGCGCGAGACCGGCCAGGCGAGATCTAAGTGACAGCGAGACTCCACCAGCGGAGATGTGTTAGTGTTGGAACCCAGCTGACGCTGACAACCTTAAGTAACCAATTGGAGTTTTCTAAATAAAGATATTTTTAGCTCACATTTTGAGTTTGAAGCCCACCCAAATGGCGCCAATTCGGTCTGGAGATCCAATCTCGAACCAACCTTTCGGACGCCACAGATTGCAGCAACAGGCAGCACAGCAGCCCGCCATTGTAGTTGACCCGCTGCAACAACATCACGCCACCACCAGTCAAAAGGTCACGCCATCTCCAGTAGCTAGTTCCGCGGGTGTGTATTGATTGGATCTTTTCATCGTCGATCTTATTGCGTCAGCGGCGTCCAGTGGAGTTGTCATCGAGTTCGGTCAGTGTCAGTGTCCTCTTTGCTCACGTCAGTACCGGTCAGGTCATCATGGCTGGCGGGTCGTTCCACTCGGTCAAAAGGCACATTCCAGGCTGGTGGATCGCTGTTCTCTCAGATTGCCTCAAAAGCAGAAGCCACTGCCAATGGCAATGAAGGAGCCTTGTTACTGCAGCAAGAAATTGCCGATGCTGCAGCAGATGACGAAGAGATTGTGGAGTATACTCAACACAACAGTCAAGGAACTTTTCATTGGAGTCAAGCCACTGGTGAACTCACCTTGCAGAGTAATTTGGCTTCTTCCGCTGCAGCTGAAGACGATCAGAGTGAGTAATTGATGTTACCCTCTCAATCCGATTCTAGCGAGGATGAAGACGACCAAGGCTCTGGAAGCGAAGATGGCTCTCCTCTGCAACTCGCTCAGTCCTCTGCCGATTCTTCAGACGACACCTCCGACAAGGAAAACCACCCCACTTGCTCGCAGTTCGAAAATGCCAGCCTCCTACTCCAACTTCGACCTCCAGCCGCAGCGGCAGCCGTGAATCCACCACCGCCGCTCCCAGCCGATCCAAAGCAAGCGCGGAAAATGAGACTTCGATCGGCGCACCAAGAGCAACAAGAGTCAAACCGTGCCGCCGCCCTTCATTCGTTTGATGATCGTTGGGAAAAACAAGATCGAGCTTTTGGCGAAACGGGTGAATGTATCACCAATTTCGACACGGAACCACAAGATGATCCTCAAGATCCAGTAGACGACACGCCAGTTTTGATGGAACCAGAGCGGGACGAAGGACAGGATGGGGATGACGATCATTCCTCTTTTGCATCCACCGTTGGATCTCGTGGTAGCAAACGCAAAAGAGGCAAACCGAAGAAATCGAAGAAATCGCCCCGTCGCACCACCCATGAAGGAACTGGTTGTCCACTCGTAGGCAATGCTGGTGCCGTCTTGCCTCATCCGCCTCACCACCGTCAAAACCATCCTCTTGTGTCAGGAGCCGTTAAGAAACCGCAGCCCAACCCTTACCAAAAGAAGCTCAAGTCTGTTCCTCGTCCCCTTCCCACTACTCGATCTCGATCCAAGGCTCCACCGCCACGAGTCCCAGCCATTGATGAAATCGCTCTGCCCGCGTTCACTCAAGATGAAAATGACATGATGGATTCCATTTGCCAAATGATGAACGAATCCAAGGACGAATTTGGAGACGACCAGGATCTTGTAGACAACTGCAAGAGAGGATCCAATACCAAGGAGACTGAAGCGCGCAAGGTGCATGCGGTGAATCGATTTGAACAGACAGTTCGCGAGATTGATCAACCTTGGGTCAAACCGATGCTCCAGATGGTCAATTGCCGATACCTTCAAGCCAAAGGGGATTTTTCGACACTCGACCTTGCCCTGTACGACTATCTCGAAGGAGAACGGACTCCCGCCAAGTACAACATCATGAACCGATTCATGATTCATTGTGGTCTCAAATGGAAGAAGCTTTCGGCGGGTCCCATTGGTGGTCAAATTGGAGACGAAATGCAACCTTCGTCGCTCTTGAAGACGCTTCGTAATCTACTCGTCAAACTCCGTGAGCGCAACATTTTCTTTGAGATCAAGGAGTTCAAGGGCGTTGGGGAGTTTGGCGGTATCATCACGGACAAGATGCAAGAGGAGCAAAAGAAGGATTCCTCGTACGGTGCCGCACCCAACAAGAAGCGTGCTCCTGAAGAATATCTACCTCTTTTGATGAAGGCGATTCAGTCTGGGTTGCTTGATCCGCTCAACAACATTGATGACTTGCTCATGGTGGTTGCTTTCTGCAATGGGTATTACGCTGCCTTCCGAGGTGGAGAAGATCACATATTGCTGAATCATAGTGACATCAGCTTTCACTTCTTCGACGATAGTTTCGGACCCGAGCTTGAAGGCACCGAATACGTCAAGATTGCCATTTTTGGTAAGAAGGCAAAGCGCCTGAGCATCAATAATCCCACCATCAAGCCAAACCAGCGGACCGAGCTGTACATCCCCGCGGAATCAGAGATCAAAGGTTGGAATCCTGTCGAGTTTTACAAACTCATAGTCAAACACTCTCACCCTGAGGCAAAAGCATTCTATTCTCGGTACATCCTTAGCAAGGACAAACGCCAGAAAATCAGTGATGCCGTGACCCGGAAGCATGGTCTCTTGGATGGTGAACGACGTGAAGTCTGGTTCCAGCCCGGTGGTTTCAAGGAAGGAAATCACAATGTTGGTCCACGCAGTATCACCAAGTGGTTGAAGAATCTTGCCGAAAAGATTGGAGTTGACGACTTTGATGCCTGTACTGGCCATGCGTTGCGGGCTATGAACATCTCGTCAGGAATCTCTGGTGGTCTCAACGCAACTGAAGTGGCCAACATGGCTCGTCAGTCCAGCAAGACGGTTCAGGAACATTATGTCAATGAACTGACCAATGAGCGCGTCGGCAATCAGCTCAATGCAATCAAACTTGGAAACGTCATGCAGCGGCAAAATGTGAAGGATGTCCAAATGGAGGATTCCAAACCTGCTGCTCGATCGTCTTCTACCGCTGTCTGCTCGAATGATGAGATCGAAAGTCTCCGTGCGCAGTTGGCAGAGAAGGAACGCCAATTGCAACAGCAGAAGCCACCTCCCATCGCGGCACCACCCCAGAATGTGACCGCCGACATGCATGATCAGTATCATGCCCCACCGGTAGCACCCCCGTATCCACCTTCGCACTCCTACCCGCCTCCACACTATGAATATCAGCCTCAGCCATACCATGATTCATACTATGCACCCCCGGTAGGGTATTCTTCGTATGGTCCACCACCCCAAGGACCCTCACCCAATGTAGGTTCTTGGTCGTACTCCGGACCTCCAAAGGATCAAGATTGGTATGGCGGACCTCCAATGAATCATGGTGGCTACCAAGGGCCTCCACCGGATCATGGTTGGTCATACCGTGCTCCAACTGGGCCTCCACTGGATCAAGGTTGGGCGTACCGTGGGCCTCCGGCTGGGCCTCCATCGGATCAAGGTTGGGTTTACCACGGGCGTGGGCCTCCAGCAGCGCTTCCATCGGATCATCGTCGTGGATCGTATCCCCCACCCGTTCCTCGTGGATATCTTCAAGGGCCTCCACCGGTTCAGCAAGGTCCTCCACCGGTTCATCGTGTTCGTTCACCAGTTCCTCCCTCCGGTCATATGCCTCCACCGGATCATCGTGGACGTTCCACAGTTCTTCCCGGCAATATGCCCCCGCCTGAACGCCGAACTCCACCACCTCATGGTCAAGCCAACGTACACTGGCAGGGTCATGGGAGTAGTCTTGGATATGAAGGAGGGAATTTCAGCCGTCGGTAATGGTCATGGTCCAACATTTTTTCAAGGTGGCTATTGTATGAAGCATGCACAGCTTCCGCTTTGAAGTTTCGATTTTTTGATTTATGAGATCAACTTGACTGAAAATGATTTGGAGTTGTCTTCAATCGATTTCTTTCTTGCTTGGATTCGGATTGTTTCGACAGTTTGCTCTCTCTTTACCTTCCGTTGGCTAAGAACCCGGACAGCTAGCAACAAACGTTCCTGTAAAAAATCTCTTACAACCATATACCATAGACATTGTTTTAGAAATTGAACTTCCATCCTTGTAGCTGAAAGATATGGTTTAGTCAGAACTCGATTCGGAAACTCGAAACGGATCCCACGTGCCACACACATGTTTCGATTCAATCGTACCAAGTCCGTCAACTTTGAAGGCATCAATTCGATGTTGTTGCTTGCCCATAGGAAAATGGAGAATTAAAGATTCTCTGCGAACTGGCACTAGGAAAAGCAACAACATCCAGTTGGACTGCACCAGTTTGGATATTTGTTCTACGTGTGCATCAGTCGAAATTTTGTGAGAAATTTCTTAATATCGAAAATGTGAGCGTTGAATAGTCATGCCGCCTCGATTGGTTCCGGATGCTAAAATTGTGAGGCTCGAATTCCTCCAAATTTTTCGAGGAAGCATGACTCAAGTAGAAACTATACTAGAGCTACATAATCTGCACCAATTCAGCGGCATAGGGTTCCACAAAGCTTACGGTACCGCATGCACTCTGAAACAGAGCAACCATCAATGAAGAACCCACCAGAACGCCACCCACACTACACCGCTCATGCCACCCACAAAGGCCGTGTTCATGGCTCAGATACTTTGTCGTTGAACACATAGACCGATGCTGGTGATGTGGTAGACTACTAGCTAGCTAGAGCTAGTACGTGTAGATCCTCGGATACCCCTGCATCGATTTCTTTGGTATTCATTCGCGAAGAATGGTGGGGATAACCTTTCCCAGACCAGTAGGTCCATATGCAGATACCAAAGAGTTGGAATATATATCCGCACTACTTCAGACAGGACAAGTGCTAAGGGAAGATGGGACCATTCAAGGTAAGAAGCGAATCCATTCCCGAGCTCGACCCGCACTTGAGATTGACTAACTGACTACCTGACCCCCTTGCGGCTTTGGTGTAACGCTGTGCTTAGCCCAAGATATTATGCACTTTTTGAGCAGTCGCCATGGGATTCGTGTCGACGAGGATGTGGTACGCCAAGCCATGATTCTCGAATTGGCGGGGTCCTTCGCCCCACCGCCTCTGCATCGCCGAAACAAACAAAACGAGGATACTTCCAACCGCACTGCCTTTATGGATGAACCAGAGCCTTACAATCAACAACCACAACAACAGCAACCACCAGAAGAAGCAGAAACCAAAGGATCCCTCTTGGCACCACTGTTTGGAAAGAAGAAGAAACAAGAAGAAGAAAAAGCGGAAGAGGAACTACAAGATCCCGAACCGGTGTTGGACCTCTGTCAACTCTTGGCATTGCTCCTCATTCCATTCTTGAGAGCTGGAAATGATCTATTGGATAGCGCGCAACAATCCATGCCAGGGTTGATAGGGTTTGGTCTTTCCAAGCGAAAACGGCACAAACAGGAGGAAGAACAAGACAATGAAGAGCTGCTGGGGCATGTTCTAGACATGGCGCTGCAAAATATTCTAGGGGAACTACGAAACGACAATCTGAGTCAGCATCATCATTATCAACACCAACCGCCACAATACGGTGGAATTGAAAACAAGGGAGTTCTTATTGACGTCGATCGGTTACGTGATATTATGGAACTCTTTGGGGAATACAATCTACCACGATCCCTCTTGGAAGAAATGATTGATATGGTAGAAGACTACATGGAATATGACGACGATGCAGGGATCGAGGCCGGCGGTGGGGCCTTTCATAACCGACAAGCCTTTCTCAACAAGGCCAGCTTTCTGCACGCCCTAACGTCAGATACTCAACTCTACGATCCTTCACACGTGGACAATCATTCCAAACCGACAACTCACTTTGACGATGCCCGAAGAGCGCGAGAATACCAACAAATAGCCATGTATGGCAAGCTGGGGAAAAGTGGCCGTCGGAGGTTTCGACGAGGAAACAACGGAGGAGGAGGACGACGATCGTCCATCTTTAAGCCATCATCTAAAGTCTCAACCAATAACAATCACCTCGAATTTCAACAAGTCTATACCGCTGCCAATATCGACAACAATGCCGACACGTACCGATCGACAGGATGGTTCACACTCGTTTGGGTCGAGACTGTTCTACTCTACTTTGCCTATCTGACTAGTTCCACTTGGAATGTCGATGACGTGCACTGGATGGATGGTTGCACCAACGAGTTTGGCTGCGCCATTGCCGTGTCATTGATCAATTGGACAGTCATCTTCTTCCAACTAATGATTATGGGATTGACATGGGTCTTCATTTCCACGCTGGGCAATGCGGCCACCAATCCTACAGAAGAATTGAAGCAAAAACTATACACGTCCTTGAGAATTGCGCTTGGAATGGCATTGGTGGCTTCCATCACGGCCGTTACGTTCTTTCGTGAACACGAGTCGTATTTTTGGGACACAACCAAGAATTCCCAGGATGAACCGGCTTACTATTCTGCCTTTATCGTTGGATGCCTCATTATGTCGTTCCAGATGCTTCGGCTGGTGGGCCTCTACGTAAACTTGGGGCCTCTGGGAAACTCGGGCATGGAGGACAAGGAACAAAAGATCAAATCGGCTGCGGGCTGCAAAGTTCGAATGATAATTGAGCATGCAGTCGCACTCCACGATCTACCACCGAAATTGAGAAGTACCGGTGTATCAAAAACTGTCCTCGAGTCGGTGAGATTGTTCCACAAGGTGCCCAGCGCTTCGCGCCGAAACAAGGGCACGAACGAAGCCGACATTTCAGGTCAAGAACCGAGGGGCGGAAGCACCATTGCAAAGGCGTTGCTCAATTTTCATCGCACAGAGGATATCAAGGAAGAAGTAGGGGGGATCTTATGGGCCTACAAAAGAATTTATGATGGTAGTTTGCTGTGGAAAGAAGGCGTTTACTTTCACGGACGCCTGATTGCTGTCTCCATCTTGCAGCATTTTGTCGTCCTTCTCATGGTGGCATTCTTCTTGACCTATCAGGCTAGAATTCAAACGTTTCTGGCTGGTGTCGAAACTTGCGGTGCGAGATGGGAAGACTTCTATACGGTTCCTGTTGTCGATTTAAACTGGAATATATCGGAGGATCTATCGGAGAATGGAAAAGTCAATGTCTTTGTCAATGTCTTCAATTGGAATGAAACACATTTCACGCCAGATGACGGAGAGACCTTTGTTGAGGGACAGTTCCCAAAGGTAAGATTTGTGGTCAGCTTTGTTAGGTTTCATATTATGTGCGGCGCTTCTCACCTTCAAGTTTCTATTGTTAAAGTATAATGGCTCTCACTTTCGAGTTGATGGCGAGCTAGTGAATACAGTTTGTTACTACGACGACATTGCGGGTATAGAACACGGTGGTGGTGGTGGACCGCGGAATGAAACCAACACGACATCTACCAACAGCAATGGCATTTGGGACTTTACCTCTTCGAACGTCACCGATAGTGTTCAACAGAATGGCCAGGATGGTGGACTACCTGGCGGTGACCAGGGAGGTGAACCCGGCGGTGACCAGGGAGGCGGCCCTGGTGGTGTTGGGGGTGCGGAAAGTGCTCTCATAGGAAGCTTGACAAGTGTGTTCACTGGTGAAACTGTAGAACTGGGTGGAGGAGGCCCACCCGGTGGCGAGGGAGAGGCTGATGGGGGACCACCGCCTGGTGATGACGGGTCTAATGTTATCCATGCGTCACTGGAGCCAAATCTTCTAGATGAACAGCAGAGCGAATACTTGGATATGCTCAACATTGCACCATTTGAGTAAGTGAGATACGGAGGACAAAGTAGCTCGATCTTTCTGAAGCTAACCCTGTACCTTATCCTGTCTGGCCTTCCCTGTTTCAGGTATAAATTGTCCCTCATCATAGGCCTTTTAGGAGCGTTTGCGGGGACCCTTGGCATTGCCTTGTCCTACATACCGTCCTTTGTCTCATCAGTCCTCAAGATGCGGTCTGGCTACCTGCCCAGCTTGAAAGGAGATCACGCTACCTACTTCCTATATCGACTTGCTCCAGACCAAACAGCAACAATGTTTGGTCTTGCCTTCTGGGGGACTTTCTTTACAGCCGCTGCTTGTTTCATCCTGTTTAGTCTAGTTACTTTTTTCCTGGTGTATTCGGTACGTTCGCACTGGCTTCATGCTGAGCTTTTAGGAATGATAGACACAACACACCTCACTTTGCTTCTTGTTTTCACACAGAAAACGAGGGATTATGTGATTACCTTAGTCTCGGCCGCGATCGGCATCAGTACTACTCTCGGGATTAAAGTGGTCGTCATGATTTTCCTTCGGGGTGCCTTTTACAGTTCGTACTACCGAAAAAAGCCTGCCGCTTCAAACGTTATGAATGTCATCCTTGAATGCTGGAGTTTGGGTCTTTCGGTTGGTACAGTGGCAACACGGATGGCGCAGCTGCTCGTTGTAACAGCATTTTATGTTGGAAGGATCGACACGCCCATGTTGGCTCCAGGGGTCGGAAACATTGCAGGAGCGCCGTTGGATCCAGCTCCTGTCGCGTTCAAGAAGGATCTACTGATACACGAAGCCGTGAGTGTTCTCGATACTGTTGCCATCCCCACATGTTCTCGTACGTTCCTCTTCATCTCACATGCCTTTCTGCGATTGTGTATGGAACCACAGCATCGGCATCCATTCATCGAACGACTAGGGTTGCTATGCCTATTGAAGTTACATAATGGCAAGGATTTTGGGTCGCGCGCTGGAGCACATTGGCGTTTGCTTCTCGTACTGTCTGTTTGTCCATGGATGAGAAACTACCGTGTTCGACCAGATCAGATTGACGAAGACGACTACACCGATGACGATGAGTTTGCGAAAAACACGACCACGAACAGGCGGAAGAGAATGAGCGTGTTTGACAACTACGATCCGCTTAGGTCGCGCCGAGGGCTGAACCAGGGTGGCCAACTTGTTAGCGCCCAAGAGGAAATGGAACGGCAATTGGAAGTAGAGTTGGCTCGCGAAGCTTATTCGAGAGTCAATGATCAGAACCTTGATCTAAGGGAAGCTTTGAAAGCTGCACGAGAAAAGCTTTTGGCTGCGAACATTCCGTTGAATCCTGAAATGGAAGAGCACCACCTTCAGGTTCTCCAGGCGCCGCAGCCAAAGTCAATCTACTGCAATGTGACGTTATGGTATGATGACATCGTAGGCCGACTAGTCTTGACGAAGCCAGGTATAGCATTCTATTCGGACGCCTTGGAGAATGGTGTAGTCATCCGGATTCGGTGGAGGAATTTTGCCAAACACGAGAGAAACAGAATTGAAAGTCCCCAGCCACTTCTCAGGCTCTCGACAAAGGGAGGTGACTGCTATGAGTTCCACGTCACGAACAGAACTGTTCGAGCGAGAATTCGGCACGACATCACACTTAGACTGCAAGAATATCACCAAGGCAATCAGCGCGACTGAGTCCTGTCCGTACCGTTGGTGTCTTCATTCGCGTCGCATTGGGGGAACCGACAGGGAGGCTTGGTTATTGCACATTTAGTATACGGAAGACAAACACAACCTACCTGTTTCCTGACCTGCTACATTTTTACAATTTTGCAACTAAGAATATATTAGATTTCCATCTACTCATGTAAAAAGAGACGCCCCGACTTGTCTCGGTGATGGTACCTGGTATCATGCATGTATTCAATCCAATCGCTCCACTGGAGGGTTGTCCGCCAGTTAGCTACGCACTGAAGACAGTACCAGGCTCTTGCTTGGAGGAATTTGGCTCTGTCTCCAAGCCCGTAGTCACCATAACTGGCTGAGCCTCCACATTATCGAGGTCCATTTCGTCATCCTCGTCCTCACTGCAATCGGGAGTCTCCAAGACTGTTGGACATCCTTCTTTCACCAACCCTGCAAACTCGTCATTTTCCATGTCCACACGATTGTCTCGGTCAATGGCAAAGCAAAGGAACAGGGTGTCCACAGTATCCAGAAAGATGCCCGCCAAATAGCTAAAGAAAAACATGGAAATGATGCCCACAAAGGTTGCTGAGAGGAAAAGCGATCTGTGAGAAGCGGACTGTGCGGCCATCACGATGGCGTCGCGACACACGCTTTACTTTACTTACCGGCAAAGGGCGTGACCCAGAGGGCCGGATCCAACGATTCCCACTTGGACAATGCGCGGTTGATGACAATCAACAGATACAAACCGAGGACTGGGTAGTAGATGTTGAAGAGCGCAAAGAAGACCCATGCCACCACCAGGATGGTGCTGTCGTTGACTCCAATGAAAGTCTTTGTGTGGTACTCCTTGTCCATCCAAACCCACGCAATGAAGTAGATCCCAATGCTGAACACGTAGGAGCCCAATGTCAAAACGCTGGTACTGGCATATTCCGTAACAAAGCTGAGAGAAGAAGAAGCGATGGGTGAGCGGCATGCTTCGAATTAATTGCGTGATGTTGTCGTGTTGCCTGTGAAACTCACCCTCCTTTGAAATGCCTTTTGAGTATTTTGATGACCTTTTTGGCCGATCCAATCCATGATTTCCCCGTAAAGACATGCAAAATGACGGAGTACCTGTCGGGGTCAAAAATTGAACAAGCTCATCATGAGAGATATTGAACAAACGTGAAAACAAACTCTACAATCTCCACAACTGGACTGGACTGGACTATACTCACTTGGTCAACATCAAAATGAGCATCTTGATGCAGTGCCCACAAAGGCAATAAAGAGGCAAGAGGATGCAAAAGACGGGATTGCAACACATCTTCCACATGGCTTCTTCCAAGAAGAGTCGATTGAGGTACTCGGCAATGGCTTGAATCAAGGACGATGCCGAAAGTGTGCCCATGGAGGTGGTGCAGGTATTGATAACGGCCCGTGTAATGCCCGGTGGATTGTCGGAATGGAAATGCCAGGATCCAATCACATTGGCAACAATGGATAGCCTCATGGTTCCAAACAGTAGAATGGACCAAAGATATGCGAGGCTGCAGTAGACGACCAGGCCGCTGGTGTAGGATGGACTCGTGTAGATGCAAAAGCCATCCGTGACCTGGGTAACTTCGACGACTTCAAATGATTTGGCATAGAACAAGACAAACAAGTAGGCATTTCCTGTTGTGCACACGCGTAATCAAGCAAACAACTCGCGTGAGACTTGTGTTTCACTCCTTGCACTAAGGTTTCGTGTGAAAATGGACTCGACGCACCGGCATAGAGCCCCAAAATGGGCAAAAAGGCACAAAACATGCTCATGTTGTGGGAAAAACTCTTGGCGGCATAGGAGAGAACTTTTCCGGCAAACTTGAGTTGTTTGAAGGTATAGATATCCCAGGCAATAATGGCCAGCGCGCAGAAAATGGCGACAATGGCCGCTCCTACGGCACCCGCTTGCAAGTTGACGACGCCCAGATAGATAAAGAATCCGAGCTTGACGGCTTCCGTTGCAAAGACAATGGGCGTGGCAAAGTATCGAATGAGCGTAATCCACATCAGAGCCAAAACGAGGGCCAGCAAACAAAGTGTGGCGATAATCTCGGGAGCTTCCAAAAAGGCGTCCTGGAATAATAATAATGGGAAAAAGAGGTCGGTGGTCAGCAAGAATAGAACCCAACCAAGGCAACGTTTTCAAAACTGCATTGATTCATGCATTGACTTACAAACATTCCATCTCCCTGTTCAAATTTGGAGACGGGTGGATTAAAGATTTTGCCCCAAAAGTCATCCTCGCCCCACACATCATCGGTATTTGTTGCATCGGTTGCTGCGTCTTGCTGTTGCTGCAATCGTCGTCTCAGTGCGGTATCACTGTCTAGATGATGACACAAATTGAGCGAGAGAATGGGCGTAACAATGAGATCATCATCAAAGAGACTAGCGAGAGCCTTGGTAAAATCATCGTCGGCTGTTCTGGCCGCGTCTCCACAGCACTGTTCCACATCACCGTAAAAGTGAGGCGAGACCACTCGAATGGGGATAGGTTCTAAAATGGCAATACCTCCCACGGCATCCGTCTTGCTGAGGACGGTTTTATGCTCCCATCGGGGATGTGCCTTGCCGACCAGAGTGAACCCGCATGCCAAAAAGGCAATATACGCGAGAGCGTAGAGAATCCCAAATGGTTTGTCATGAAATTGACGAAACTCGGGTTCCCACTTCACTTCAGGAGGGACCGTATCCTCGGTCGCCACGGCGACGGCAGCCTGCTGGTCTTGTGGCTCCTGATGTGGGTTGTTGTTGTTCATCTTGGTTGCCATTGTTCTGTGTTGGAAGAAGAATGATCAATTGCTGCTGCCTTGTGTCGTTTGAGCTCTGTTGTTTTTGACGAGAACTGGCACGAAATGACTCTGTGTCGTGGATACTATGTACCGGTACAGGTCTCAGTGACTGCCGAATGACTATGTGACTTATTGGGTTGACCATAATGGTAAGGGTTTGCTGCTACGGTACCATACCACTACGGTACCAGTGCCGGTAAGGTACCAAAGAGGATAGAGAGAATGGATAAAGCCGCGGTACTGGGAACAGGTACGGTAGCTGCTGCATGTACATGTATGTAGTCCAGTTAGTTAGATTGGCTGTGAGATCTCTACTACATGGACCACGATAGGCACCGGGCAACACTCGTGTCATGGTCAGCCAACTTTTCTTCAAACGAGCCGTTCGAGAGATGTTTGGCTGCTCGCCACGAGTTTGTGTTACTTTGCGGAAAAATCTGTTGTGGGGCCGATCCCAAACATGTACTGTGGGATCTCATGCTTCTACAACTCTCCACCAAGGTACATGTACGGAATGTAATTTGTGCTACGTTCCTTCCATCAGCGCTCTGCTCTCTATCACAATGTAACTCTAGCTCGTTCTACTACTGCATGTAGCCCCAGTTTGTCCACCCCCCAAGTAAAACTCGTGAGACTGAATGCCTTACCATCTGAAGTACTCTAATAAAATGTTCTTCTAGCTGAGGGATAAGCTGCTGGCCAAAGAAGCGGAACAAAAAAGGCCACTTTCAGGCATCTTCGCCCCAAAAGGACGCTTCTCAGACAAAAGAGCAAGACAAGTGTGAACGTGATAGGGGGGTTTTAGAGTAGGGAAATTATCTACGGAAGTGTGAACGTTAGATTTCACAGATCCACACCAGACACTTCTAAAACTACACAGAACAACACAAAGCATGCAAATGGACCGATAGGTAATAGATGAATGCATAAGAGGATTGACTGACTGATTAGTTGAGTACTGTACAGTACTGTAGGTAACCATGGCATCATCGGCAAAGGTTGGGTGGCAAAAAGAGCGGGAAGCGAAGCAAAAGCAGAAAGAATGGGAGTCTCAACAAAATGCCGAGCACAAAGACTGGCAACAGAAACGTGCCGACATGATGAAGAAGAAGGAAGCCGCCGAGACCAAAGCCAAAGAAGCCGAAGCAAGTGCTCCAGAATTCCTCAAGAAATTGGGAAATATGAAGGAAAAGGCGCAAAACAAGCCTCCACCCAAAAAGGAAGACGAAGGGCCGACGATTGAAGAACTGGATGATGGCACCGACATTCCACCGTGGCATCGACCCAATGCCCCCGAAAAACCAGAATGGGTCGTACTGCTCTTGCTCGCCGCCGAAAAGGAAGCACAAGAAGAAGGAGGAGAAGACGACGACGATGTCTTTTGTGCGTCTGGAGCCGAGCCCTCGTTACGATATGACAATTTGCCCCCCGAGTCTTCTGGCAGTGGATCTTCAGACGAACCCGCCTGGATGAAACAAGCCAAAAGCCTCAAGAGCACTCCCAACTTGACCATGGACTCGAAAAAGACCAAAAAGCACACCCGACGAAACTCTTTTGATATATCGGGACACAATCCCGAAAACCAGGAACAACCCTGGATGATGTCTGCCTCTTTGAAACCGGCAAAGTCCACACGACAAGTTTCCGATACTACAAGCACTACTAGTCCAAAAATCGTCCGATCGCCACGAAAGACACCCAACAAGTACGCTTCCAAATCGGCGTCGGCCGATGTCCTGATGGGAGACGAAAAGCCAGAATGGATGAAGTCGGCCGAGAAACTACGGAAAAAGAAGAAACCAGTCATCAACCACGAAGCCAACAATCCTGCCGCGCCACCGGCCGAAGATTTGCCCGAATGGATGACACAACGGTCCAAAATACAACAACAGCAACAACAAAAGGCTTCATCACCCGATGAAAAGAGTCTGCGAGGGTCCACCAACTCCATCGCATCAACTACTAGTACAGCCAATGAAGAAGAACAACAACAACCCGCATGGATGATTCAACGATCCAAAATAAAACAAAAGACCGATCTTACGCCTCCTCCTTCTCCCACCAAGAAAACCAACAATGCAGGCGACAAACCGGATTGGATGAAACATCACTTGGTGCCGGAACCGCGCATCAGCATTGACGACTTGAAAACGTCCATTGTTCAGGAGAAACTGGAACTACGAGAACCCATACGACAAGCATCCATACGACTCACCAAAGAAGAACTTACGGACAATGTCGTCAAACAAAAACTAGAAAAACGACCCAGTATTGTCGACCACCGAAAGTCGCAGGTCAAACCGGAAGAAATGGAATGGATGAAGAAAAAACTCAAAAAGTCCACAGCATCCCAACCAGAAACGTCGTCACTCAAAAAAGAACCAGCAGACGACAAAAAACCGGAATGGATGAAACATCGAGACAAATTGATACCTCGTGTCAGTGCTCAAGAATTGCAAAAGTCCGTCGTGCAAGAAAAGCTGCACAGCCGCGGACCCATTCGAGAATCGTCCTTGCGCAACATTTGCAAGGCCGAATTGACCGATAACAAAGTCATGACTAAATTGGCACAGCGGCCCAGTCTACTCGACAAAAAGTCACACATCCAGACGGAAGAAATGGAATGGATGAAAACGAAATTACGTCCCAAGAGCGTGCCCAACACGCCAGACGACCACGGTGATGATCGTCCTCAATGGATGAAGGAAACCCAAAAACGCAGGTCATCCAGGAAACTACTCGATGCCAGTGACATTGATGCTTCGATACGGGAATCCAAAAAAGAAGACAAAGAAGAGGACAAACGTCCCCAGTGGATGAAAGAAACGCAAAAACGGAGATCTTCTCGGAGAAGTATGAGTCTCACTGACAGCGAGCATGACAAAAAAGAGGAAGAGTCCGAGGACGGAAAGAAACCATTGCGCCGATCCGCGACGGTTGACGAACGAGCGCCAAAGCGACAACCCGCGTGGATGAATGCAGCCGAACAGCGCTTAAAAGCCAAGGGTCTCATTGGCAATGAGAATGAGATCCACGTTCGCCGCACGTCGATAACAACAAGCAAGCCGGAATCACCCAAAGCGACGACCCAAACAGTCGCCAAGCCAGCAACAACACCAAAGTCACCGAAACCGACGACCCAAACAGTCACCAGGCCAGCAACAACACCAAAGTCACCCAAACCGACGCAGACAGTCACCAAGCCAACACCACCGAAATCACCCAGAACCACAACCCAGACAATTGCCAAGCCAACACCACCGAAATCACCCAGAACGACGACCCAGACAATTCCCAAGCCTGCACCACCAAAATCACCAAACCAACGACCCAGACAGTCACCAAGCCAACACCACCAAAATCACCCAAACCGACGACCCAGCAACTGCCAAGCCTGCACCACCAAAATCACCGAAACCAACCACACAGACAATCGCCAAACCAACACCACCAAAATCACCCAAAACGACGACCCAGACATCACCAAGCCAACACCACCGAAAACACCTCAAAAAACGACCCAGACCATCACCAAGCCAACGGCCAAGCCAACTGCTAAGCCAACCGCCAAACCAACACCACCGAAATCACCCAAAAGGACGACCCAGACAACTGCCAAGCCAACGCCAACGAAATCACCAAAAAAGAAGGCTGAACCAATCCCTCCGCCGACGGAACCCGCTTCTCGACAAACGTCCTGGGCACGAGTCAATAGTCCCAAATCTTCAGCATCGAAGGCAGCCATAAAAAGAGCGCAATCCCCGATGCCCCTCGACTTGGAACGAACCGAGAAAGCTTTGGTGGAAATAAACAGCCGTTCACCCAAACAGGCGGTTTCATCAACGAAGGCAAAGAAATCAACCAAGAATGCAGCAGCCCAGGCGCCTCTTGACGTGAAACGAACGGCGAAAGCTTTGAAGGAGTTGAAAAAATCTCAGACGCAACAACAAATACCCACAAAGAAACAGCAGGCAAAAAAATCACCCAAAAACGCGGTCGATACACCTCTTAGCGTAGAACGAACCGAGCAAGCTCTGATGGCCTTGAACAATCTCTCGAAACAGCAAACGCCACGATCTAAGGCTCAAACCACGGCAACACCGCAGAAGACAGCTATGCAAGACAGGGGCAGCTTCTCCTTGACGGATGACACGGATGCGCTGAGCTCTGACCAAGGCGAGAAATCCCCGGCAAAACCCCCTGGTGATGGGCGATTTTGGCAGAGTCTCATTTCGTTGGGTAGCACGGAGGGGTCCGATTCCACCGACTCCGAAACCTCGGGCGAAAAACCATCCAAGGCGGTGGACTTTTCGGCTTCCATGAACGACATTTCTGCTGTAAAGAAACCCGCCGAGAAAAGGAGGCGCAGGTCCAGCAGGAAGTCCATCTCGTCATCAGGCAGCCGACTCAAAAGCCGCAGTCGATCAAAGTCCCTGGACGGTAGAAAGAAAAAGAGTAAGGACGAGAAGAAAAAATCGGAGAAGAAAGAAAGGAGGAAGTCCGAAAAGAAGGACAAGAAAAAGGAAAGCAAAAAGGAAACCAAGAAAGCCGAGAAGGAAAAGAAGGCAAAACGGCAGGATAAGTAAGGATTGCGGAGACGGCTGTCGTCGATGGTCTTCTATGAATTTGTCCCATTTTGATTAATTGTAAACCTATTGTAATAGTACCGGTATCGATGCAGATTGTCCTGATTGCGATGCGTTCAAAGAAACCTGCGTTGCACTCTGCGTTTGACAACTTCAGTTTCACACAACTGTACACATGTACAGCATCGTACTAGCTAGTATCGTGCGAGCCAACCGATTGAGGGCCATCGAAACATACGCCGTATAATTATTCAGATCCCACCCGCGTCTTCCAACCACCCCTTGGCCGCGAGGAGACAGAGTTTCGGTCCGTAGACGGCTTGGGAAGTCAGATTCATTCCCGCGCGCAAGCCCAAGCGAGAGATTCGGACAACCCACCACACCGTAACGAAGAAGCAATGCCGCTGGATGTTCGATGTATCGCACTTTCGAAGCACCCACAAGCCATTAGCAGCCTGTTTCTCGTTCCCAAGATGCCAGAGTACGGTGCCGACGTGTTGAACAAGCGAGTCTTCATTGAGTTTCTCGTTGACCGCAAAGGCACACGACGACCCTTCGCGGGAACAATTTGCCGAGTCCTCGAGTCAACAGATTGCGGCGACGATGGCATTTTGATTCGCTACGTCGACCACGAAATCAAGTTTGATGATGGCGATGTGCGGGTATTCAACCTCCAGGTGGAAGAAGATGCTAATCGTTTGTTTTGGAAGGCTCCTGTTGAGGATGCATGCGGTAAGAAACGACGTGCACGTGGCGGCGCTGAATCTTGCGGTCCCGAGCAGAAGAAGAGTTGCCACGAGCATGACAAAGGCCGTCCAACGATAGCCAGGTTCCACGCTGAGAAGTGGCTCAGAAATCTTCCACAATGGCTTGAGGATGATGGGTTGAGCAAGGATACGATTCGGGGCTTCCTTACCACGGCAATGAAACTGGCATCTGGAGAAGGAATCACGTACAAGAATTGGCCCGAGGGCGTCACTTTCTATCGAGGCATTCCTGTGAGCCCACTCTTCGGTGACAGCCAATGGGAGAAGCTGTTTCAAGATATCAAAGAGTACGAGAAGAAATATTGCAATGGCATTGATATTTCCTGAGGCAAATTGCTAAGGAACCCTGTTCAGAAGTTGCGGCAGTTCTACCAGGACGAATTCTATGCGGATCTAGTTTCTGAACCATCGTGTCAACTCGATACGGAATCGATATCCGATGGAGAAGAAAACTGATCAAGTTGTTCAACCCACTAGCGGCGTGACTCTCCTATGAAAGTCCACCCATCATCGAATAGAAGGAGCACGGAAATGAGATTACCATGAATGTAGTTACTGGCTGAATAGCATGTTGTTTGTTGTATCTATGTATCAGTATGCAATGATGGGCTTACCCAACTTCAATGGTACGCTAGCTCCTTGACTTCTTCCAACCACTTGGAAAGTATGTTCTGGACAATGATGTATCCCTCTTTGATATCCTCAGTGTCTGTGTCCCTGGGACCCACTGAGTTCAGATCCGAATGGTGGGCTCCATTCTCAAAGTTCAACACCAACAGACTATCCGACAAGTTTTGTTTCACGGCACCAACAGACCATCCATCATTCAACCCATTTGTGAACAAGATACGACTGGCATTGGCAGCAATCAGGTCATCAAACCTCCACTTCTCAACGAGCTCTGTTGGACGTGGCATAACTCCAAATCTGTCTTGGCAATGCGCATTCATCCAGTCCAGTGTCCAGTTGCGAGGAGGGAACATGGATTCATTGGAAAAACCAATTTTCTCCACCAAAAGTGTACCTGCAAGGTTTGAGAGCCACACACACACATCAGTTCCAAGCTGTGGAAACCAGCACGTTCATGTAAAGTCCAGTTTGGCCAAATCTAGCTAGGGGCAACCAGCCAACTTACAAGTTTGAAAATCCCAACTCTCTGCATCAGCGCCAGTGCCATCACCACTCCAATCTCCCCCTGATATAGTAGCATTGGGCCCTGTTGGAAGCTGCAGACTCATGTCAAAGCAGTCAGCACCTCTTCCTAGTCTCTCTGTCAGGAATATCTTGACCTTGTCAATAGCACTGGTGTGGGAGTCCAAGAAAATTTGACAATCCTTGTACAGGTTGGTCTGTGGTGAAGGGGGATAATTGGCCATATTGTCATTGGCAAACGTGTATCCTACCATCATGACTAGCTCTTCTAAAAACAATTGTCGATTTTCAATGTAGTCCGGAAGCGTCCCAGGGCAAATGCCAACATCCAGTGCAGGAATATAGTCACATGAGGAGCCTTCCTGTACCACAGCGTCCAATGCTTGCCTGACAGCTTTGGAACACCCAGGAATCGTTTTCTCTGCAACCTTGGAAATATGATTGTAGTAATCTCCTTCTTGTACTTGCTGAGAGTAGAATTTGACAGGAGCAGAAGCTGCATAGGACATGTCAATTACATTTGGAAATCGTAGCCGAGCAGACATGCTCAGAAATCCAGGATAGGAGCCCCCAACAGTGATAACGGGACAGTACGTGGAGGATGACTTGTCCGGAGAGCAATGGAGCCGGTCTTGAGCTACATGCTGTACCAAGCGGACAGCATCCATCAGTGCTTGTTCAGCTGTGAAGAGTTGCACACGGGGATCCTCTGCTACCTCCCAGTTCCCCTCAAGATTCCTCCTTCGCAGCCTTGCTGCAGAAGATTGTGGTTGGTTGCTTTCTCCCGAGGTGGGATCCGTTTGTTGTTGTGTCAATAATAATGGCTGTGAGAATCCATAGAATCGATGCTCTGGTTGGACGACAAAAGCTCCAAAATTCTTGGCCAGGTGATCACTGACAAATGGGTACTTGATACCAACCTCTGGCGGAATGTGACCTTCTCCTCCAAGAATCAGAAAAATGGGATGCCCAGGTCCCTTGAAATGATCGGACCAAACGTAGTAGCGCTGTGACCACATTTCCCCCTTGTAGTCACTATTGTTTTGGTTCAAGTGATCGACAAGCTGCAGGGGATAATAGTGGGTGTTGGGGATTCGCGATTAGGGATTCAACCCCTGTACCTCTGTACTAGAATTTCACAGTAGAAATACAGAGCCCACCCACTTTTTCAGTAGTATCTCAATAGCAACAGTAAACTAGAAGAGAGCTTAGAGCAACTAACATACTACTGAAAAAGTACTGCCTATCGCCAGCGAGGATAGAGCAGTGGTCTACTATCGAGTCGAAGAGAGGAGTCTATCGAAGCAGTTAAACGGTAGCACGAAGAATCGGCCGACGCCGAACGCGACGCGAGAACAAGACCGCCGACGGAATCGTCGTGCACAAGACCAAGCCTGTCGAAGCATCGACAGCAACAGCGAGGAGACTGTCAACGACAGCAACAAGAGAAGCCGGCAGCACCAAGGATTCGAGGACGAGTCCAAGCCGCCGAAGAACAGCGACGCCGGAACGGATCCGAGGACGATCGCGACGACGCAACGAGTGAAGCCGAGACGAAAGATCGGACGACGCAGAGGATCCAGCGAGCGCAGAAGAGAAGACTTGGCAAGCAAGCGACGCGTTACAGTATCGGTCGACGGCACAGTAAGCAGGAGAGGCGAAGCAAATTCCACCGGAATCAGACTAGCACGACAACAAAGCGGAAAGCATAGTCCAGCGCAGGGGCCCAAAGTGAGGCACCCCAACAAGGATTCAACACATACAAAGAAACGGTTTGGAGTGGAGAACGACCGAACAGTGTGTGAAGCAATCTTGCCATCCTCTGCAAGATCTTTAGTAATAGATTTAACACTCCCCATGAGCCAGGATATAATTTGTAAATTAGTTTATCCGCCCCATAGGCCATAAGAACGAACCAATAAGTAGTCGACGAGACTTAAATTAAAGAGCTAGTCAATTCAAAAAAACAAACGAATTGAAAACAGTCCACCACTAAACCGTAGCAATAGACAATGAGCGTCCGTGTGTAGGGGTAGAGGGTGAGGTGATTCGTATAGTTTGGGGTGTGGTGTGGTTTGGGCGGCAATATATGTACGAAGGTAATGGCCAAAGAACCAAGGTCGCCAGGTCGCGAAGACTCGAGCATTGTACTACAGGAGATGGCTAAAGCCTTCTGGAATCTCGTATAGAATATGTGTTTTGCACTTGCTGGGTAGATAACTGTGATTCTGGGTAACTCAGGGGACCAGATGATACGCACATGGGAAAAGATCGTCATCCACGTTGAACAAGAGTGTGTTTACGATGGGTGGGGTCAGTGGGGTTGCGCACGTGTTAGCAGATGAGCATTGACGACCGTGAACAGACTGCGTGTTTTTTTCCGGTTAAGGCCGACACACACGGTCGTGAGTGCTCGAGGGTACCAGGAGACGGCTTGACGCCCTGCAGGCGGCACGAGCACGCGTTGAACAGGAGACGTAACCTTCGTCTCCTAACTCGTGGCGCACCGAGGAATGCCAGTGGCCTCGCGAGCAGAACGGGAAGAAAAGCGGATAGCCAAGACGGTCCATCTTGTAAAAATCTCGAAACTCGGTCGAGAGTATTGCTTACTGCTTCGCCACTACGATAGAGAAAGCACAAAACTCGAAATGAGCAATTAGGCCACCTACTCACTGACGCAATGAGAAATCACAGGTACGTAGGGGAATCAGGTGCTGTGACTCAGAGAGAGAGTGAGGTGTTCACTGCAAGGGATTCAGTTGAGACCACCTTTATCGTGCCCAGCGATTGGCCTACACACATACAGGGATAAAGTTAGAGGCAAGGCATTTCACCTGAGCTAAGACGCAGTCCACTCCGACATTTTAAAGGACAGAGTATGAATTAGCAGAACAAACTGTGACTACGGAAGAGTCGCCTTGTAAGATGGCGAGGCCCCCTACACTTGTGAGCTAACGAAGAATAAATGATCCTCGCCGGGTCATTACTCGCAACCTGACGACAGATGATCAATTTTGCGCTGTACCACACATCTATTTCCAACTGAAAAAAACAAACTGTTGAATTTCCACCAGGGGAGCCTTACCGCTTCCGAATCCCACGAGCAATTTACCACGAAAAAGGACATTTCAAAATCCGTGGGGGTTATTTTTCCTAAA